CAGGAAAAGACACTCATCTGGGAAAATGAACCCGAGGTAATTACGAAAAGGAAAAATATTGCGATGACTGATAGAACTCCTGCGCTTTATGTCTCTGCTAGCCATGCAGAACATAGCTAGATGGGCTCTGCTGCCATAAAGTATTAGACGGCTTGTGCAGCTTGGAATGACAATTCAAATACAATTTTACATTTATGAGTTTATTTTTCCCAACTCATGTAATAGCCAAATCCAGCCCAAATTGTCCAGATCCTACTTTCTTCTGTCTTCCTATTCTTTCAAAGAACACCAAGTATTTGGTCTAATTAAGGTTCTGCAGGAAGGATCTTTTAACACAGAGAGATGAAGAGCAAGAGATTTCATGTGGAAAATATTTACCACTTTCAGAAGTAATGGAAGTAATATCTGCTTTAACCCCAGCAAGGCCTCTAAAATTCAGTTCTCAGGAGAAAACCATGGTCAAAATAGCAAAGCCTTAATTCAGAGACATGAGTCTCCTGAACTAGGCACCAGAGTCCTCTGCTGACGCTATCATCATAGGTCAATGCCACTTAAAACCAACTTAGGGACTATTTAGAGGCAGGCAAAGGATGTATTTGATCCATCTCCCCTTTTAATCAGTCTTTCTTAGTTATTGATGGAGCCTCTGCTCCTAACCACCCCAGCCCCCAAAGAGCAATAAACACCAGCAATTTATAAGGCTTCGTGGGGGTAATTTGTCTGGTAACTCCGGCGTGAGGTTGCGAGTGGGCTGTGCAGCTGGCTGATTTGAATTGTCACCTGTCCTCAGACTCACAAGGCCTTCAAATTACAGCTAATCACCTTTGGGTGCACAACGGGGCGGGTGGGTTTAATACTCATCTTAATTGGAACGAGGACTGGGTCATCCATAAGAAATTTCTCTGGAGATGCAATTTAGACTCAAAAGTATTTTGCGTTAGATCTTTAAACCTTCTTTGAAATGCTCCCGTTTCCCTGCCAAAAAGGCCAAGAAGAGACAAGAAAATAATCACAGGTTTTGATGAAATATTTCTCAGATCCCGCTCTGTACCTGAGGAAGGGGGAGCCAGCCCACGGTGCATCCTGAGCAGCCCCCATTTATTATGGCTCCAGCTGTATGGGGTCAACGAGCTTTGCTCGCTTCTTCCTTCATTACCCCTCTGCTACCGCTAATGGTCCCACTTGCTTTTCAAGCACCGAAGACTGTCGCTGCTTTGCAGTTTTCTGAATATTTCTCTGTAATTTGAACAGCACCAGTAGGTTTTCACTCAGAGACCTTGAAGTTCTTCAATGTGTCATCTTGTCAGGCTCATTTGATCTTACCAATTCCTTTTCCGTTTTATATTCTTTCATTGGCAGCCCAAGAAAGTTTTCATCTAATTCTTGAACTCTGCCTTTATTCGACAGAAAGGGCACAGGCGCCATCCTTTATGCACCTCTGGCACAAATTTACAAGGCACAAGTTTAAAGGAAGAGGCAGCATGTAAAGCCAGGTCTGAATTCAGCCTGATTCTTGTTTTCCTTTCTGATTTACTCTTATTTAAAAAAGCAGAGGGAGGTAGGCAGTAAGAACAGCTCAGCCGTTACCTGGATGAATGAGCGGGATCGTGGAAAATAGAAGCAAAAAGAGGGACAGATGTACCCAGGACGAACTTTTCTTAAACTGCACGCCCTGTGCCCTGCACCTGGTCCACGCCCCGTGATGGGGTCTACCCCACGGGCACCCTCCTGCGCTCCGCCCCACTCGGTTCACGTGCCCGGGAACCGCGGCTCTGTGTCTGCGGAACGTCCCCGCGTGTCGGGCTCCAAGGGGAGCCTCAAGGCACGGCTGTGCAGAGCAGAGGCTGGGGCTGGTGTTTGCCAGGGGAGTGTTTTGTGCTGAGAGGCACCTGGGAGAGAGCTGCGGCTCTTTTCTCCAAACACATCCAACCGTCTGATTGAGGGCACCCAGAAATTAAGCAACAAGATGTCTCCTCGGGTAGCAGCACGGCTGGCAGAGAACTGCAGAGAGGAATATCTTCTAATACAAACTGGGGGCTGGGCTTTGAGAAAGGGCTGCTGTGAAGCTACAGGGATTTCAGAAGGAAGCGGAGATGATAATTAATGCCTGGTTCAAAAGCAATTATACCAATTATGTTTTTAATTTAATCTCTGCAAAATTTGGGACTCTTAGAAAATGTAAATAAACAGCTCTAAAAATATTAGCGTCTGTCCTGTTGAGCATCCTCCCCAGATCCTGGCTAAAAGAGCTACGTTCACAGCAGTGCCTGCAGGAGAGTCCCCTGCAATACTGCGGTTTGTCCCAGCAACCGCTGCAGAACCACTGCAGCATCTCTCCTCAAATGATCTAGAAATGCCATTTTTTCCCACATTTTGGAACTGTTGCATACTAGAGGTTGTGTGTCTCCACCGCATCCCATCCCATAGTCGTGTGCTCCAGTTGCTGTCGTGTGACTTAGTGTCGCAGAGATGATCCGAAGTGACCGAAGGCTTTGGGGAAGCAACCTGAGATACCTCAGAAGGAGCTGGCTGCCCAGGTTTCCTCGCTGTCAGCAATGCAGGACATGGGGCTTACGGCCACGCTGGTCACTTCTGAAAATCTTGGCTGAATTTGTCTTTTTCTTTGACAAGCTGCACAACCGAAGGGGTCAGCAGGCCCTGCACAGCAGCACCAGATGTATTAAGGGTCTTTTTTTCCTGTTCCTTTAGGGTCTTGTCATGCCACATCCCGACTAACGAGCTCTCGCTTTCCATGTGCCGCCGTAGGTTCAGCCCATACGAGTGGTACGATGCTCATCCCTGTAACCCAGGATCAGACATCGTGGAGAATAACTTCACCCTATTGAACAGCTTCTGGTTTGGGATGGGAGCGCTGATGCAGCAAGGTACGGCGGCGCCTCCCCGCCCACACACCCTCCTGCCGGTTCTCCAGCACAGGCCTTTTGTCGTGGCTTTTTAAATTTAAAATTTATTTTGTTTGTGACAGGAACAAGATAAAACATCTGAACGGGCACAGAAGCGCTCGTCAGCACGGCTCCCCGTTGAAAGGCGGTGAGGTGTGGGAGAGGGGAGGCAGCTCTCCTCCA